TAGCTCTATATATATATATATATACTTATTTATATTTATTTATTCGTTTGTTTATTTATTATTGTTATTATTGTTATTATTATTACTATTATTATTATTACTATTCTTGTTATTGTTATTATTATTATGATATATATTATCAACAACCAAGGCAGCCCTAGTAACAAGAATCTTGGACAAAACTACCCGTAACACAGAGAACGACACTGGAAGTATGACGAAATGTGACTATCACCCAATACCCACGGTGTCAGTGACCAGCTCACCCCTTGCGATTACTCAGTGGCAGTGTGAATCGTCGTCCCACATTTACTGGCAGGCTTCTCGTTTGTATGTTTCCTGCCACGATCACTTCCGCAAGGCCCGCAAGCACTCCTTCAACCGAATCTGAAGCGTAGAGCTCGTGGTTGCATCCGCATGCCGACAAGCCTGTGCTGGCAGCGGCACACGTCGCTTGGGGCCGTGAAACTCTGGGGTCCTGAACCCCTTAAACCCGCAAACCCCAAACCCGGTAAACCCATGGGAAACCAATTGGTAGTCTCCTCTCATATCCTTGGGATTGCCCCCATACAGTAACAGTCTATAATTAATAGGGCTACAATTTAGGGCCTTGTATATCCATATTATGAATATTGCTAAACTGTTACTGAGTGGCCAAAGCAAACCATGAAAAACGAAAAACAATGAAGACCCTGTAAAAACTTCCACCCCAGGCTTACCCTAAGCCCTAACCGCAAGCAGAGGAGAATGGCCTCGTCGAGCAACTGCGCAGCCTGCACACAGGGAGGGCTGTGGCTTCAGGGTTGAGCCCTAAACCCTAAACCCTAAACCGGTTCTGGCTCGGGGTTGCGGCTTCAGGGTGGGCTCAGGTCCGGGTTTAAGGTCTCGGGTCGAGGGCTTGGGGTCTGGAGTTTAGGATGGGTTCGGTTGAGGGTGCCGTAAGGGCTCCGCTGAGGGATCTTCAAGGGCCCTTTCGGTGGATGAATGAACGGGGCTTAAGAACGTGAATAGAGCTTTGTGGTAGATTAACTTACAACTAGATAGTTGACCCTAAACCGGCGTAGACTGGGATGTTAACAGTAGTCATGCGTGTATGTATGTATGTATGTATGTATGTATATATATACACATATGTATGTACTTACGTACGTAGGTATGTATGCATGTATGTAGACATATATATATAGATGTGAGAGAGAGAGAGAGAGAGAGAGAGAGAGAGAGAGAGAGAGAGAGAGAGAGGGAGTGTGTGTGTGTGTGTATACACATATATATGTATATCGATCACCGAAGTACACAGAGACCTTCGAGTCTGAGCCTGGGCGCCCGAAGTGGGTTTAGCCACAACTTGTGGGGTTTGGGGTCTTTTCTTGAGGGAGGGAGGGAGGGAGGGAGGGAGGGAGGGGGGGGCGTTAGGGTGTAGGGTGTAGGGTTTAGGGTTTAAGGGCTTGCAAGATCTCTTACAGATTTTGACATGGGCTCAACAAGCTTTCGAGAGGGTTTTGGCGGAGCTTATGGTGGCATTTAGGCGGGTTCCATGAAGGTTGCTTTAGAAGGTCCCGAAACGGCTTTGCGTGGGGTCCAATAAGAACTTTATGAGGGCTTTGTCAAGGTGCAGCAGGTTTTGGGGTTTCCGGCCTGTTGTGTAGGGCTTTTAAGATTTACGTGGCTGGCACATTAAGGCCTTTGGGGTATGGGGGGTTTTCATGCGCAGGATTTCGGTGCGCAGACCTTGTGGTTTCGGGTTTTACAGCATTCTGGGTGTTTGGTCTTTCGGGATGTACGGTGCAGGCCTGAGCACACAGCCCGATACCCACTAACTAAAAGAGAGCCGCCGCAACGCCCTCCTAAAGCCCAAACAAAACCCCTTACAGCAAACTTCAATGCAAAAAACCTTCTAAATTTCAAAAAAAGAAATGGCAGACATCGCCCATCTTCGAAGCGAAAGCTCTTGGGGGGGAAGCAGTCTCAGGTCTTCGTTGCCGTCTAAAGCGTTAAAGCTCTTTCAAAGCTCTTTCAGTAGTATGGAGTTTATCGGATTTCTTGGGCTTTCAGCAGGTGTAGTGCTGCAAGGCGCAAGGTTTAGGACTTAGGGTTTGGGGTTTGGGGTTGGAGCTCCATTTTGCTCTCCACCCAAGCTGTGCCAAGAGACGGCAAGGCGAGAGCAGGGATACACGCTTACGGCGCATCAGCACAGCAATTCCCTCAGCCTCCGCCAGCACCCTCCGTTTAGGGGTTGTTTAGGGGTCTTGGGTTTCGGGGTTCGGGTTTAGGGCGAGATAGGCAACAGAGGGAAACCCTTGAAGGGTAGCCCTGTCTGAAACTTCTAGGGTTTAGAGACTTAGGGATTTAGGGCGTAGGGCTTTTAGGGTTTAGGGTTTCGGGCTTTGGGGTTTGTTACACTGACCTGCAGCTAGGAGGATCAGCGACTCATATTCCAAGGCCTTCAGGCTCCCATGAAAGGGGTTTAGGGTTTAGGGTTTAGGATTATTTGTTATTTAGGGTTTAGGGTTTAGGGTTTAGGATTATTTGTTATTTAGGGTTTAGGGTTTAGGGTTATTTGTTATTTAGGGTTTAGGGTTTAGGGTTATTTGTTAATTAGGGTTTAGGGTTGAGGGTTTCTACCTGCGGCACCACCATGCGTCTGACGTGAAGTAGCTCTTGTTCTCTTCTTCTGGCGGCGGCTAGTCTCGATGTCATCCCTGTACTATAATCACCGTAAGAGGGGATATTATGACCCACTACTCACACCAAAATACTACCCCTAAACCCTAAACCCTAAAACTACGGACTTGTCATAAGTTCACTGGACTTTGGGTTGTGCGCAGGCGAAGCTTGAGCTCCAGGATGCCAGGTAGGCACGGCCCAGCCGGCTACTATGGGGGCCTGAACAATACGGGTTTAGGGTTGAGGGTTTAGGGTTTAGGGATACTAGCATCAGGAGGGTTTAGGGCTTAGGGCTTCGGGTTTAGGGGTTTTGAGGTTTAGTGCGTTTCGGCTCTGGGCTTGCCGGCTCAGTTGTTTAATTAAGGTTTAGGGTTAGATAATGGCTTAGGGTTTTCGGGTTTAGGGTTGACGGGCTTAGGAATTGAACAAGCCTAAGCTGTCCTGGGGGTGCCTAATGCAGCTATGATACCAAGACCCCGAAAGCTCTACGCAGTGTTTCAGGCCCCCCATGGTGTTTACAAGTCAAAATGCATGTTAATTCGCTCGGAAGCACAGTGGCAGCAGAGCTATGGCCTGAGATGAGGACTGTAGGCCACAGGCTAGAAGCCGGAGCAAAACGACGAGCTCGACAAGAGCGGTTTAGGCTTCAGGATTCAGGGTTGAGGATTTTAGGATTTAGGGCTTAGGATTTTGGGGTTTGAGGTTAAGGATAGGGTTTAGGAACTCGTCCTCCTGGCATGCTTTTGCATTGGAAAGTCTCACGGTTGGCTGGCTTCTGTGCCTGAGCAGCAAGGCGCACAATCGAGGCTCCCCTTCTCCACGGTGCCCGGATTCCGGCGCTTGGCACGGCGCAGGATGAAGAAGGAAGTCATGAAGCCAGCGATGATGCACAGAAAGAGCACTGCCTCGTACAACATCGTCAGAAGCATAACGAAGTAGGCGAGGCACATCTGAAGGCCGAAAAGGAATGCGGCGAAGGCATCATAGAGGAGACCCGTACCCTTCTCTTTTGTGGCTGCTTTTTCCACTACCAGGTCACGGGCCGTCTGTAGCACGACGATCGCCACGGGAATGATGAAGGCACCGAAGCATCCTGCAAAATATCGGGCCTGGTTGTCGAGAACCCATCCTGGAAACAGAAAAAGCACGCACGGCTGCGTGTTCCCGATGCCCAGCTGGAAACCGGACATCATCACCCAGCCCGAACCTACGCAGAAAGCGTCGCTCGGACTGTCGCCCACGTCCACCGTGCCATGGTCGTGATGGTGATGATCGTGGTCCATGCCGCGGAAGCCGGGACTGTTGTAAGTTGGATTTGCACCAAACTTGGACCAGGACAGCTATGGGGTCGTCGAGCTGCGCAGGTTGGGCTTGGGGCATAATGCAGGTGCCTTAAGAATTAGAGTAGGGATTTGGGCTCCTTTGTAGTAAAAATATAATGAGGAACCCTACCAGTAGTATTGGTAATTATTTAGGCCCCTATGTTAGGCTGAGGGTGTGGGACTTCCGCCGTTTAGGTGCAGCTTGCGATTCTCAAGTGATTCAAGCAACACCACCTAAAGCCATACCATGAAATGACTCCGAATTCAGACCTGTACAATTGTTCAAGGCCTCTTTAAGTTCAAGCTGCAATGAGCTTGCGCGCCTTTAGCCAAAAGAATAAAAAGCACGATGTCTAATGATCCCTTGCAGTTTTGACGATAAGTACAGAACTAAGTTGTAGTTTTGGGGCCCGTAAAGGTATTTATGATTAGGAACCTCTATAAGAACCATAAGGGAAATTTTGACGTTTCCCAAAGCGCCACCTAGATAACACTAGAAGTGAGCCCCAAGTCCTCTGCGGGTGCCAGTCTGCCGGCCGGCAGCTAGCGGCTAGGCAGCTAGCAGCTAGGGATTATTGTAGGGTTTAGGGTTTAGGGTTTAGGGGGGTAAGGGTTCCGGGTTGGGGTTTGGGCTTGAGGCTTAGCTTTCACCTCAACCCCCCACTCCCCTAGATGCCCCAACCCCCAATGCCCTAAATCCTAAATCCTGAATCTTAAACCCTCGACCCTGTGACCCCAAAACCCTAAACCCTATACCCTAGACCCTATGACCCCTAAACCCTAAGCCCTAAATCCTAAACCCTGAACCCGGAACCCTAGAGTCATGAAAACCTAACCTCTGGAACCCAGACACTGTTGAGCCTGGCTCAAGAACGTCTGCGCTGCGTTCTTGGCATCGCCTGCCCAGTTCCATTTAGGGATTTAGGGCTTTAGGGGTTTAGGGTTTTAGGGATTTAGGGCTTTGGGGATTTAGGGTTTTAGGGTTTAGGGTTGATTTAGGGTTCAAGGCCTTCAGGTTCAGGGCTTGGGAGTCACGGGGCCGTGGGGTCGGGTTTAGGGCTTAGGGTTTAGGGCTTAGGGGTTTGGGGGTGTAGGGCTTAGGGCGTAGGGTTTAGGGCTTAGGGGTTCAGGGTTTATTTACGGTTTAGGGTTTCGGGTTTAGGGTTATGGGGTTATGGGGCTCAGGGATGTGGGTCTTGCAAGGCTTCGGGTCACATCTTCCAGTCCGCAGGGGGCTTCGGGGCGTTCGCAATGCAGGATGCAAGGTTGAGACAGCTCGAACCTGGATGCCCGAAGAAGTGAACGTTGACGACACCCTGCCAAACATCTGCCTGTCACCTCACCATCGCCGACCGAGGCATCAGATCAAAAACACCTTTCTCCAAACCTCGCCAAAATCTACATGCACTCTGCCTGCCAAGACCTCCTCTTCCCCTCACACATGGGCAGTAACAACATTTACCGGATCCTCCTAAAACATAGAGTCCTGCAGACGCCATAAAAGTAAACCCTAAACCCTGAACCACATTGCTGAACCCCTCGAACCCCCACCCCCAAGCATACGCAGAAATAACACCAAAACGAGTAAAAAGCACAAAAAAAAAAACATTAAAAGCCGAAAAGGCCACTCAAAGCTTTAAAACACCCTAACAGCCCCTAAACACTCCTGAAAGCCCCTAAAAGTGCCGCTCCTTCTGCATTGCTCTGGAGCATGCGCACACCTGATAAGGGGCTTTAGGGCTGCAGGCTCTGAGCAGAAAAGCAACTGGGATTGAGTTCTAGATGTGTTTTCCTTGGTTCTAGAAGACTTGAAGGGATTTTAGAGGGCTTCAAGCTACTTTTGAAAGGCTTTCTGTGGTGGATCTAGAGTGTGTTAATGGGTTTTCGACTGCTTTGGAAGGATTTAGAAGGTGCTTAAGGCTTTTCGGATCTTTAGTATGTCGAAGGTTTTGCGGGTTTAAGGATGTTAAGCGTGCTATGGGGGTCTTCAGGTTGACGGAGTCGCGGAATGAACCTCCTCAACCCTCAAAAATTATGCAAAGCTGCCATAACCCCTGAAAGCCCGAAAACAAAGCAGCAAAACCACGACAAACCCCGAATTCAATGAACCTGCTGGAAACACCCACAACCACAAGGTTTAGAAGCTTTGCCTTCGGTGCTTGAAGATTAGGATTTTAGGTTTGGGGACGATGCCAGGCCATGAACCTCAAAATCAAAGGTGCGTCACTCACGACTGCCGAGGCATTCAGAGTTCCATTCTTCAGATTTCCGAATCGTTCAGAAGGATTTTGCCCTAAACCCTAAACCCTAAACCTTGGACACATAGATGAAGGGCAATCCTTTCAAAAGTGAGGGTTGGTGGGAAACCAGCTAAATCGCCAAGGAACAGATCCATCGGCAACACTGCAACAGAAGACACGACGAAGGTAGCGATTGTGAGATGGTGAGAAAAGTGGTTGAATGAAACAAGAGTGGTGATGATGATCGAAATATGATGTTGGTGCTGATGATGGCGATCATGATGATGATGGTGGTGGTAGTGATGCTGCGGCTGATGATGCTTGTGAGGATGATGATGGCGACGACGACGATGGTGATGACGATGATGATGGTGATGATGATGATGATGATGACTATGACGATGACCATGTTGGTGGTTGAGCATGATAGTGGTGCCCATCTTGTTGTTGCTGGTGATGATGATGTTG